TCCTGTAGTGCACCCGGGGTAAGTGTCCCCCTGGGGTAATTCCCCCTGGTAAGTGTCCCCCGGGGTAAATATCCACCTGAAAAGTTCCTCCTGTGGTTAAGTGTCCTCCATGGTAAGATCCCCCTGTGGAAAGTGTCCTGTAGTAACTGTCCCCCTGTGATGGGTCCCCCTGGGGGTAAGTGCCCTCCTGTGAAAGATCCTGTGGTAAGTGCCCTCGGGATAGCACCCCCCCTGTGGTAAGTGCCCCTCCGGGGGTAAATATCCCCCTGTATAAGTATCCCTGGGTAGTGTCCTCCCATGGTAATGTCTGTAGTAACTGCCCTCCTGTGGTAAGTGTCCTGTAGTAACTATCCCCCTGTGGTGAGTGTCCTCCTGTGGTAAGTATCCTGCGGGGGAAAGTGTCCGCCTGGGTAAATGCCCGTAGTAAGTGTTCCCCTGGGTAAATGCCCTGTAGTAAGTGTCCCCCTGTGGAAAATGTCCTGTAGAATGTCTTCCTGTGGAAAACATTCTTGGTAAGTTTCTCCTAGGGTAAGTGTCCCCCTAGGTGACACCCTTTGGGAAAGTGCCTTTTAAGTGTCTTCCGTGGTAAATACCCTGTAGAAAAGGTCCTCCTGTGGTGAGTGCCCCCCCTGGGGTAATGTCCTAGGGGAAAACATCCTTGGTAAGTGCCTGGGTAATGTCTTTTTTTGGTAAACCCCTTTGTAAGTTCCGTGGTAAGTGTCTTCCTATCTTAAGCACCCTGTGGTAAGTATCCCCTGGGGTAAGGGTTTCCTAGTAGTATGTGTCTGAGATACCTGAGGGGGTTTCGGGGGTCAACACTCCCACACCCGGTTGTGACCGGCCCTCATGGTGGATCAACCTGAAAACCGGGCGTTATGTTGGGCATGAAAACCTGACGTTGAACCATATCCTGTGGCCAGGTAAAAACTTTAGGTGCCTGCCCACCCCCTTTTGAAAACAACCGGGGGTTATTGGTAACCCCCCCTTATGTTGTGGGAGGCATTTGAACATCTTGGCCCCTTTGACACTATTGTTTGTTCTTATTGTGCTAGTGCCCCCTGCTTTTCATTGGGGGGAAGGTTGCTCATCTGCCGAGTTTTTGCTTTTTTAAGGGGGTCCGGGTAAGTGTCCTGTGGTAAGTGTCCTGTGGTAAAATGTCCTGTGGTAAGTGTCCTGTGGGAATGTCTTCTGTAGTAATATCCTTTGTAAGGTTTCTCCCGTGGAAAAAGAAAAACCTACATGACCAGGCCATGGAAGGGGGGGGCCTGACCCCGGGAATCCCCGCAGGTGTGAGATGACCCCCGTGACAACGTTTTGGTCCCATGGACCACTGTTAATCCCGCATAGTGGTACAGGATGGGGAAAATGTCTTCTAAGGGGGAGGCAACATGCCTGGTAGTAAGATGTTCCTTCATATGTATTTTAAAATATCTTTAAAAAGTCTGTTGCAATATATCTTTTGAAAAGTTATTTAAAAATATCTTTTTATCTGTTAAAATTATATTTCCAAGGGGGGGAAAAGGTACTATAACCCCAAAAGGCACTCCTTACACTTACCATACCTAATATACCCTTACCCACCCATGGTAAATTTTTTCTTGGAGTGATATGGGGGGGGTTAATGTTGGGAGTTTAAAAAAATGTAGTGTAAAGCACCCTTCTGGCAAGACAGTGTGGGGTGAATGAGGTGAAAGTTTTTCTTTTTTTGGGCCCCCTGCCTTTGGGGGGAATCGGCCGGGTGTGATAATAAAAAATAAAATAAAAAGCCATTAAAAGCCTTTGGGTTATTAATGGGTTTTTAAAAACCCAATTAACTACCATTTGGGTTATTTAAACCCTTGATAACCCAATAAAAACCCTGTGTGAGATACCCAAATTCCCGTCCCGGCAACCACCCCTTCACCTTTAAAAAGGGTTTTATGAATTAATGTAAAAATAACACTATATTATGTGCCCGCTACTTAGGTGAGTGAGCTGGTCAATCGCTAGGCACTCATCCACACGAGGTTGGGGGTTGCATCTCCGGGACGGTGGATAACATTAGGTGTGTTTCCATAAAGGGCCCGCTGTCCTGTTTACCCCTCAGTATACCCGGGTTTACCCGGGAGGGTTCCGGGGGGGCAACGCCCCCGCGGCCCGGTTGTGACCAGGGCCTCCTGGTGGATCAAGCCGATCAACTGGTGTTACTGTGGCTGCATGCAAACCAACGTACGAGCCACAGCCACAGCCGCATCCTGGGACAAATTTCCCCAATTTGCCCGAAATGCTCTGCATAACAACAGTTCTAACAGTAGGTGTCATTGATACAGCAGGCCTATATTTCCTTGTTATCAGTGTAGAAAAAAAGTATTTTATTTTATGCCTGAAGGGATTTTTGGGGATCAGATCCCCATGGCCCCTCTGTGGCCCGGTATTATAATAAACATTAAACTCAATATATACCCTCCCCTCAAACTATAGTACTTTTAAAAACTACAAACAGAATACCAGGCACCACAGGGGGCAAAATCTCTTTACTCCCCCATGTCCATCCCACCCTCACTAAAATGCAATGCACATAAAGGGCCCCCAAAATTGGAATTCGGCCTGAACCCGCAACAGTTCCCTTGCCTGCCAATCAATTCAGGACTAACTTAAAAATCATCCCCTTTTCCCAAAAAAAACTATACCTGGAGTTAACCTGGAGGGTTTCAGAGGCCCAAAACCCCCGCGGCCCCGGTTGTCCGGGACTGTACTAAATATTCAACCAGTTTGAAATGAAAGTTTTTAAACACTTGTGCAACATTGGTTTTTCTTTATTTAGAGTTTTGCCCCCAGTGGCGAAACATCTACTGATTTTTACACCCGGAAAATCCAGAGGGTTTGTACCGAACTTGCACACGAAAATCACTCACTACGAAAGCAAAAACTTGGGAGACGATGAAAAACCCCCCATGAAAAGCAGGGGGATCACTTCAGTTAAAAAAGCCATACAAAAAGGTCAGGGCCCCAGACTGTTAACTGCCCCCACTAATAAGGGGGTTACCAACGACCCTGCTCTTTAAGCTGGCACTGGACAAGCACCCCAAAGTCGTTCCGCCGCCGGGGGTGGCTTACATTTGGTTTTTTCGTGCAGCCAGCAGCAACAGCCCGGTTTTATCAGGCTCTGATCCACCCGGAGGCCCGGGCACAGACCGGGCGCGGGGGGTTGACCCCGGAACCTTCTCCAGGTAAACTCAGGTAAAAAGATAACCCCGAGTTGCACAAGGGTTTTAAATTTATTTGTCGGTATTGTATACTGTCTTGTACAGTTTGAAATGACTCAAAATTCCCTCAAAAAATTGGACCACACATTAACTAAAACATTAATATATCTTTAAAAATTTTAAATGTGATCGTGTCATTTTAAAAATTTTTATTTGTTTTTTGTTCTTTACTATTATAAATTTATTAATTATAAAATTTTGATACTTACTTTGTAGTAAGGGTAGAATTTTAATTTTCTAAAAAAATTTCTCTCTATAAGCTATGTCCCCTTTAAGTAGGTGTAAGCATTAGTACGTACTCCCCCTTAACAACCTACTTGTTTAACGACGCTCAATTTACAACCAGTTTTTCCCCAACCCGGGTTTAAAACCCAAATACAGCTCTCCTCATTAAAATTAAAAAGGGTTTTGTTCCTAAACCCCTCGGTAAAAGAAGTCGTCGCTAAGTGAGGGCAACTTTAATGGAGTGGGTTTTGTAAAACCCTCTTTGATAATGTTTTAAAGTCATTTTGCACCATTTAACATTTATGGGATATTTTTAAATGTTTATACGCTTTTAATGATATTGTTTTAAAAAAATTAGAGGAAATCAGTTCTAATAAATTTTTTAGGGGCAACGGGGAAGGGAAACCCGTCGTAAGTCCGACTTCGATTAAAAATTTTTGTCTAATGAATTTAACAGTGGTGAAAGAGGGGGAAAAATGATCTGTAAATTGAAATCCAATGGGTTTCCATCTAAAGCATATAATATCTGGGGTTTTTCCTCAGTCAAAAAGAGAGACAAAAAAACCATTGCATTTAGAAGACAAAAATTCCCTCACCCCCCCGTGTGAGGGGGAAGTTCAACACTGCCCTGTTAGTGGAATTCCGTGACCACCCCGTGTAATGGGGGTTTGTCACCGCCCTGTGAAAAGGCAGAAATTTCTACTTCAGTGACTATGTAACACAGAAGACTTCCATCCTGTATGTGGGAGGGAGGGGTATACGCTGGCACTTCGGACCCACAGGATTTGTCCTCCTGTAAGAGGGGGAATCTGCGTCAGCACTCCCTGTAACACAGAAAGGGCTTCCCTCACTCCATCTTAGAGCAGACACCACCTCATCATTATGGGGTTTCCCCTTCTTCCCAGATTGTCATAACAAATGGGCGAAGTAGTTGGACCTCAGCGTTGTCAGTCAGTCTGGGATGACACAAGTGTTGACAGTCAGTCTAGGATGACACAACAGTGTAGACAGTCAGTCTAGGTTGACGCAACAGTGTCGAAGATATATATTAATCCTCTGGACTATTCAACGTGTGCTAAAATATTACTCCGGACCGCATAGAAATGTCACTCAGTTGGTCCACTCAACTCACAAGTGTTGTGTATTGCTGTAATCTGAAGCTAAAGTGTTTTTACATAGGTTTAAAGTGTTGCATCTTGGTCCAGAAGCTATAGCTTTGCCTACTAGTGTGTTTGCTGGTCAGTGACACATAAACAGCTATGCAGTGTGGTGTTGTGGCCAGACTTTGTTTACTCTTAGACATGTGTTCAACCGGCTTCTAGTAAGATGTTCATCTTGAGGTGAACTCTTATTGCTTCTTAGACAATTGACAGAAGAGACGTAAAGAGTTGATTAAATATTCATAATTAGCCCTGCCATTACTGTTGTGTGTTATTCGTGTAATCAGCAATGTAACACTGTGAGTTACATTTGATCAAAGACATTTGGTGTTGCATCAATAAGTTGGGACCTTGAGACACCTTTGGCCAGAGACATTTGGATGTATTCATGGCTTGATTCAAGGAAATGCTCCAGTTTTCAAGAACAGCTCTAATTTTCTAGATCAAGGGCTCTTCAGAGGCACCAAGGCACCTTCCTTGAAGATCCCTGTATCTCCAAAATGCAGGGAACAAAGGATGAATGAAGCACTGCAGGACACCTTGGATGACAGGCCTTGGGTGTTGCTTGCATCATCAATAACACGGCACCTTGAAACACTCTTCCTTCAATGACAATAACTCATTTATCTTCATAAATGTGAGCCCAAGTTTGTTAAACACAAATTATCTTTATATCTTTAATAGTGAGCTGGATAGCGTTCAACCCTTTTTTATCCATTTGTTATGTTTTTCATTCCCACGTACACTGTTCCATAACATTCCACGTATGACTGTTCCATAACATTCCATGTACAACTGTTCCATAACATTCCACGAACGATTGTTCCATAACTTTCCACCTACGACTGTTCCATAACATTCCATGTACGACTGTTCCATAACATTCCATGTACGACTGTTCCATAACATTCCATGTACGACTGTTCCATAACGTACCAAAATAATATAATATCATTCTCATGACACAGACATAAATGGAATTCACAGAATTACTTTCAAAAATGATTACTTGATGAGAGTCAATTAAGACAACAATTGAAACTAAATAATTATGGGTCAATTTTCTTACAGAAAAAAACAATTTGGCTATAAAAATAATTTGTTTCAAGGGAAATTATTTGGATTTTTAATATATTTAGGATTATATAAATGGTGTATGATAGCTGTCTCTTGTTCCACGGTGGAGGAGTAGACAGTAGGTGTCACTCTTTCACCTGTTTATGACTTAATTTGACTGGGCACATTTTGTTCCCATGTTTTGCTGTCTCTTCTCTGACAGCCAGACTGTCTAGTTCCCTTCTGTCTGCTATCTCTAATGTCCTCTCCTTCTATCTATCATGTCTTCTTCTATTTATCATGTCTTCTTCTATCTATCATGTCTTCTTCTATCTATCATGTCTTCTCCTATCTATCATGTCCTTTCCTCCCATCTATCATGTCCTCTTCTCCCATCTGTCATGTCCTCTTCTCCCATCTGTCATGTCCTCTCCTCCCATCTATCATGTCCTCTTCTCCCATCTATCATGTCCTCTCCCCATTTATTATGTCCTCGCCTCCCATCTATCATGTCCTTTCCTCCCATCTATCATGTCCTCTCCCCATCTATCATGTCCTCTCCCCATCTATCATGTCCTCTCCCCATCTATCATGTCCTCTCCCCCATCTATCATGTCCTCTCCCCCATCTATCATGTCCTCTCCCAATCTATCATGTCCTCTCCCCATCTATCATGTCCTCTCCCCATCTATCATGTCCTCTCCCCCATCTATCATGTCCTCTCCCCATCTATCATGTCCTCTCCCCCATCTATCATGTCCCTCTCCCCCATCTATCATGTCCTCTCCCCATCTATCATGTCCCTCTCCCCCATCTATCATGTCCTCCTCCCCATCTATCATGTCCTCTCCCCCCTCTATCATGTCCTCTCCCCCCATCTATCATGTCCTCTCCCCATCTATCATTTCCCCCACTATCATGTTCCTTCTCCCCATCTATCGTCCTCTTCCCCATCTATCATGTCCCCCTCCCCCATCTATCATGTCCTCCCCCATCTATCATGTCCTCTCCCCCATCTATCATGTCCTCTCCCCCATCTATCATGTCCTCTCCCCCATCTATCATGTCCTCTCCCCCATCTATCATGTCCTCTCCTCCCATCTATCATGTCCTCTCCCCCATCTATCATGTCCTCTCCCCATCTATCATGTCCTCTCCCCATCTATCATGTCCTCTCCCCCAACTATCATGTCCTCTCCTCCCATCTATCAGTCCTCTCTCCCCATCTATCATGTCCTCTCCCCATCTATCATGTCCTCTCCCCCCATCTATCATGTCCTCTCCCCATCCATCATGTCCTCTCCCCAATCATCATGTCCTCTCCCCATCTAATCATGTCCTCTCCCCACTATCATGTCTCTCCCAAACTATCAAGGGCCTCTCCCCCACTATCATGTCCTCTCCCCATCTATCATGTCCTCTCCCCCATCTATCATGTCCTCTCCTCCCATCTATCATGTCCTCTCCCCATCTATCATGTCCTCTCATCCCTATCTAACATGTCCTCTCCCCCATCTATCATGCCCTCTCCCCATCTATCTTCCTCTCCCCCATCTATCATTCCTCTCCCCCATCTATCATGTCCTCTCCCCCATCTATCATGTCCTCCCCCATCTATCATGTCCTCTCCTCCCATCTATCATGTCCTCTCCCCATCTATATGTCCTCTCCCATCTATCATGTCCTCTCCCCATCTATCATGTCCTCTCCCCCCTCTATCATGTCCTCTCCCCATCTATCATGTCCTCTTCCCAACTATCATGTCCCTCTCCCATCTATCATGTCCTCCCCCATCTATCATGTCCCTCTCCCCCATCTATCATGTCCTCTCCCCCATCTATCATGTCCTCTCCCCCATCTATCATGTCCTCTCCCCATCTAAACATGTCCTCTCCTCCCATCATCATGTCCTCCCCCCATCTATCATGTCCTCTCCCCATCTATCATGTTTCCTCTCCCCCATTTTATCATGTCCTCCCCCCCCATCTATCATGTCCTCTCCTCCCATCTATCCCTGTCCTCTCCCCCATCTATGTCCTCTCCCCCATCTATCATGTCCTCTCCCCCCATCTATCATGTCCTCTCCCATCACAGTCCTCCCCCATCTATCATGTCCTCTCCTCCCATCTATCATGTCCTCTCCCCCATCTATCATGTCCTCTCCTCCCACTATCATGTCCCCTCCCCCATCTATCTGTCCTCTCCTCCCATTCTATCATGTCCTCTCCCCCATCTATCATGTCCTCTCCCCCATCTATCATGTCCTCTCCTCCCATCTATCATGCCTCTCCCCATCTATCATGTCCCCCTCCCCCATCTATCATGTCCTCTCCTCCCATCTATCATGTCCTCTCCCCCCCTTTACATGTCCCCTTCCCATCTATCTCCCCTCCTCCCATCTATCATGTCCTCTCACCCATCTACATGTCCCTCCCCCCATCTATCATGTCCTCTTCCCCATCTATCATGTCCCTCTCCCCATCTATCATGTCCTCTCCCCCCTCTATCATGTCCTCTCCTCCATCTATCATGTCCTCTCCCCCATCTATCTTTCCTCTTCCCATCATCATGTCCTCACCTCCCATCTATCATGTCCTCTCCCCATCTATCATGTCCTCTTCCCCATCTATCATGTCCTCTTTCCCCCTCTATCATGTCCTCTCCCCCATCTATCATGTCCTCTCCCCCATCTATCAAGTCCTCTCCTCCCATCATCATGTCCTCTCCCCCAAATTTTCATGTCCTCTCCCCCCTCTATCATGTCCTCTCTCCCATCTATCATGTCCTCTCCTCCCATCTATCATGTCCTCCCCCCCCATCTATCATGTCCTCTTCCCCATCTATCATGTCCTCTCACCCATCTATCATGTCCTCTCACCCATCTACATGTCCTCTCCCCATCTATCATGTCCTCTTCCCCATCTATCATTCCTCTCACCCATCAAACATGTCCTCTCACCCATCTATCATGTCCTCTCCTCCCATCTAACATGTCCTCTCACCATTTTATCATGCTCTCCTCCATCTATCATTCCTCTCCCCCATCTATCATGTCCTCTCCCCCATCTATCATGTCCTCTCCCCCATCTATCATGTCCTCTCCCCCATCTATCATGTCCTCTCACCCATCTATCATGTCCTCTCCCCCATCTTTTCATGTCCCTCACCCATCTATCATGTCCCCCCCATCTATCAGTCCTCTCACCCATCTATCATGTCCTCTCCTCCCATCTATCATGTCCTCTCCCCCATCTATCATGTCCTCTCCCCCATCTTTTCATGTCCTCCCCCCATCTTATCATGTCCTCCCCATCTATCATTCCCTCTCCCCCATCTATCATGTCCTCTCCCCATCTATCATGTCCTCTCCCCATCTATCAGTCCTTTTCCCCATCTATCAGTCCCCCTCCCCATCTATCATTCCCCTCTCCCCCATCTATCATGTCCTCTCCCCATCTATCATGTCCTCTCCCCATCTATCATGTCCCCTCCCCCATCTATCATGTCCCTCTCCCCCATCTATCATGTCCTCTCCCCCATCTATCATGTCCTCTCCCCATCTTCATGTCCCCTTCCCCCATCTATCAGTCCTCTCCCCACTTTTCATGTCCTCTCCCCATCTATCATGTCCTCTCCCCCATCTATCATGTCCTCTCCCCCATCTATCATGCCTCTCCCCATCTATCATCCTCTACCCATCTATCATCGCCTTATCCCCATCTATGCATGCCTCCTCCCCCCTACATCATTCCTACTCTTCCATCTTCATGTATCCTGCTAACCTCCTCCCTCTTATCCCATGCACCACTTCATACCTCTCATCTATCCTGTTCTTCTAACTCCTCCCTCTTACTCCCCTCACATCTTCCATACTTCTCATCTTCCTTGCTATTCTGCTAACTCCTCCCTCTTACATTCCCTCACCATTCCATACTTCTCATCTCCTGTATCTTGCTACTCCCCACTTCATTCCCTCCCCATCTTCCATACTTCTCTTCCTTATCTGTCTAACTCCTCCCTCTTACTTCCCTCACCATCTTCCATACTTCTCATCTTCCTTGTATCTTGCTAACCTCCTCCCTCTCTACAGTCCCCTCACCATCTCATACTTCATCTCTCCTGTATCTGTAACCCTCCCTCTTCTGTCCACCCCATCTTCATTCTCTCCTCCTTGTATCCAGTATCCTTCCCCTATTCTACATTTCCTTACCATCCCTTCGTATCATGTGCTCTCCTCCCTCTTCTTCCTCCCCCATCTTCATGTCCTCTCTTCCTTATCTGTGCTCTTCCCCCACTATCCTATGCCATCTCTCCCCCATCTACCTTGTCTTCTACTCCCCCATCTATATTCCCTCACCATCTTCCATACTCTCTCCTTCCTTTATCATCTCTCTCTTCCCCTCTTACTCTCCTCCTCCCTATCCATACCTCTCATCTTCCTTGTATCCTGCTAAAACTCCTCCCTCTTACTTCCCCTCACCATCTTCCATACCTCTCATCTCCTGTGAGAAATCTTACAAATTACTTATTCCCAATTTTCTGTTCCCCTTAGTTCA